TGTAAAAGGTGAAAGTGTCCTTGCTGCCGAGTTTTGCTTGTCGCGAAGGGCGAAGTCGACGATGAAATAAATGCTTTTGGACAATTCACGTGTGACTGACCGGATGCACATGCATGAAACTCCATTGCGTCTGTGAAGTGTTTTTACGACGAATAGAAACAACTTTATTGTAGTGTTCTAACGAAGCCTGTGATCTCCAAAGGCCAAAGCTAATACTTTGTCGGCTGTTTTGTTAAGTGCGAACACATCCAGCCGTTCTCATCCGTTGCTACGTAAATGCTCCCGTGCAGGCCGTGCATGTTATTCAGCTAGGCAGACAAGCTGTTTTGAAGTTAGATGGGCTAACGCCGTCGATACTTTCTCTTGGGCATCGTTTATCAAGTGCTGATCGCCTAGATTGCTGCGGTGGCACGTCAGTATTTTGAAACGGCCTGCCAGTTAACTCGTCAGGTGATGGCACACTGAGTGACATAAAAAAGTTCCCTGGTACTACGTTGCAGTGCACCTTTCTGTCATCAAAACTTTGATAAACCGTGGAAATCAACATTCCTGACACGTGTGCCGGAGAAATCAATGCAGCCAGCTGCATTTGAGTTTTTCGCGTTCTTTTGCGCCTCGCCGATCAAGAGCAATAATTCCCAAAACACTTTATCATAATAAATATAGCCAATTCTGCGAGAGTCTTGGAACATCCAATAATAAAGGGACTGTGGATAGGACAACCACCAGCAGCAAGTCAAGCTGACGGGAGGCCGATGAGGAGGCGCAAATGTTAAAACAATACGTTCGCAAACACAAAAAGAAGAAAAACTAACAAATACTGCAATAAGGCTCGAACCATCGACCTGACCAGCACGACCTGCTATATAAACTAAAAGTTTATATAGAAGGTCGTGCTCACCAGTTTTTATTGGGCGCTCTAACCCACTACGCCACAGCTGCCAATCGGTTAAGAATGATTAACTAGCCGGTTTTGTATTGTGGTCACGCTGGACCTAACATTTCTTTTTTACTTTTAGTTTGGACTTATAACCTTTACTTGCTTCTGTCGTTACGTCTATAGACGTACCGCTAAACACTCAAACTCGAACAATCGAAGCGCCTAACCAGAAAAGTGCATGACGTCACTTCCGTGCGGCTCAGTAGCCGTTTCTGCGTGGGGTTGGCTTAGCGTTTCTAGATATATAATATATCTATCTAGATATAGATATATAATATATCTAAAAACGTTGGGGTGGCTCGTGCGCCGCAGCAGTCTCTGCCAAAAAAAAAAGCCTTTCAAATTCATTTTATAGAAGTATATACTTTCGAAACTCGAACATCATAGACAAATCAGCAGTTTTCATTGATCTTTAATAGCTTATGAGTTTTTCCTACCCCACAACACTTGTTGGTCAGCTATGAACCTATGACTAGCAGTACAGTGGACTCGCTCGCTGGATTTCGTGCCAACCGGTTGTGCGCCCGCGCGCTCCGCGCGCTTGCGACCTCCGGCGTCAGCGTGACTCTGACCGACTGGGCTCGCCCTACGTCACCTCCTGCCGCCGACGGCTTTCGACGACAGTGAAGCTCTGACTTACTGGACCTGCTCTATGCCATCTACAGACGCCGACAACATCTCTCGCAAGTGTACCCCGTCCTCGGACTCCAGTGACCGTGCTTCCATCTTTCCTGTCTCTCCTATTCCCTCAGTTTGTTGTTGCTTCTTCTTCCTCTTTCCTATACCTTTACTTCTACCCTTTTTATTCCTCCTCACCCCCATCCCTTGTGAGCCCTGTGGCGGTGTCGCTCACTGAAGCAGACAACAACGGGGCTCACTTTTCTCTTCCTTCCATTAAGAACCACTCATAGCAGTACAGTGTCGAGGCCAAGAAAAAGGTTCTTGGAAAAAAATGTTTTTTTTTAGTTGGTGGCACTGCCTAGTTATGTAACATAAGTATTAGGTAAAATTTTAAATAAAGAGTTCCTCTCTTGACCGGTATTTTTTTTTCGGAAAATATTTGTGTCAAATTGTTAGAATTGATTAGTGCGTTGATTTTTTCGCATGTGAAACAAGCATCACTAATCGGGTACTTTTATTTGGTTAAAAAATGAATGCCAATTTTGTACGACTGATGTGCTTGTAGCATTATGCCAAGCTCTGAGTACTCTTCCAGTGCCCTTATTTTTTTATATTTCCTTAGAGGCTCACGGGACGGCGTTCAGCTTTCCCAGAGTAGAGTGCCTGGTACTTTAAATCATTAGCCCCCATATCGTAATGGTTTGTGGAATAGCGAGCATGTAGAAGGGTGACCTACAGCCTCACTCCTTATTGAAAAAGGAACATTCCGATTGAAATTCAACATTAGCCAACGCTACAACGATAACAACACACTTGTTACCGCCATGTACACTAGTGTCAAGTAGACCAGCACGGCCGAGCATGGGGTTTCAACTAAAGCACAATCGTGCGCGTACGTACAGGAACGTCACAATGTTGCCGTCGTGCCAGCGGTGGCCAAGATGTAGCCTGTAAAGGCCTCGAAGGCCGATGGCAGGTTCTTTTTAGGGTAGCTGGCTCCCCGCCGTCGTCCACATAGCCGATCGTCGCCAGTGATGCGACTCGTTAATAGAGATAGACCGATGGTTTATTTACATTATGAGAACGATGGAACTGTAAACAGATCCAGCACAAGTTCAGCTTAGATTCCGCTCCATGTACAACAGAATTTCGCGCTCATTAAAAAAAAGTATTCAGCTTTGATAGCCCGTCGTCTCATTACACGCAGGTCCGAAGAAGGCGGTGACCACTCTTGCCTTAATCAGGTGATGAAGTCTGAGTGGTCCACAGACCGAAAAGGGTGCAGAAATTGGGGCACATGTGAAAATAAGAACGTGGGTGAGAATGTCAATGGTTATAACGAGCGCACCACACGAAGACGCACCCGGCCCACGCCTTCAAGACATCGCAGGGCGAGGAGGTAGGGCCCGGTGGAGGGAAAAGTTGTGCTCTTTAGAGGTTCTTGAGAGGGAGAAATAAAGAAAAAAGCGCGGAGCTGTTATTACTCTCTTCATCGACACGGCTCCTCGTGAGGGATGGGAAGGGGGAGTGAAGAAGGAGGAGGAAGGAATGGGAGAAGGACAGATGCATTCAACTCTGTTCGGCACTGGCAATTGGAAATGTAGCACTGGCATTCGGCCTCATGTGTGCACTTAAATTGTAAACGCGCTATCCTCTCCTCTGTCTCTTAAGAGAGGATGCGGCAGTCAGTATCGTCATCATCTTCAGCTTGTGTAACGAACCCATAACAATTTACCTAGTAAAATACATTTTGTGGCAGGATATCTGCAAGGCATTGAGATTTTAGTTCATTGCAGGATTAATTAAAAATTGTTGCATGGCACCTTTGAATAAACAAAAAATGCATATGAGCGGCTTCAGTCGTGCTCCAAAATTTGTGCCATGCCTCAAATTGAAAATGATTATAAAGGAAATATAAACTAAAGCTGGGTGTAGATTACCATTCACAATTCAATGACCATTCATATTTTAGAAAATTAGTTAGAAAGTTCGTAGCTCATGGTTTTCATGTCGAGTAGGCACGAAAGTAACTGTTGAAGAATAGTCTACTATTTACACAGTTTGCAAGAAATAAATCTTTGAAACTTATGTCGTGCCAGAACTAAGAGCAAGGTGGTTCGGGAAGCTGGCGATGAACTGACATGATAGCGCATGTTCGAACGTCTTACACGGGCTGCTTGTTGGCAAAATGGGGTGGTAATTAGGTAAGTGCCCGCAGGGATCTGCACCAAGGGGTGAAACCTGCTACATCTTTTTCCAAAATTTAATTATTTGCATCAAGCATGCCTGTACTCTTCATTGTTGTGTTCTCTCAGGGAGCAACTAATATATATATATATATATATATATATATATATATATATATATATATATATATATATATATATATATATATATATATACATATATATGTAATATATATATATATTTGCATTGTATGTGTTATTCTGACGAAGGCCGGTCGCACAGCCGAAACGTAAAGAAACTTTTCTGTTTTTCGACGTGTGTCTTCTTCCTATTCATATATATATATATATATATAATATATATATATATATATATATATATATATATATATATATATATATATATATATATATATATATATATATGGCAAACAAGCCCAACCGACGCGCTTACTTAGAGCCCTGTTGCTCAGACGTCAAAGAACCTTGTCGACACCCCTATATATATATATATATATATATATATACATATATATATCAATGTCTCTATAATGTGGCCACAACGGTCCTTATTAAGTCCTTATTTGAAGCTTCGCCCCTAAAAACAGAATAACAGTAATAATAAGAGGGATGCCGAGAACAATTCGGGTCCGACGCCATCGTGTGGCAGGAGATTCAGGTGGGTCACTCAACACGATAACAGAAAAAGAAATATCCAAGGGCGTGGGGTTCTGCTGCACACGGGTGCCGGCAGGGGGTGCAAAAGGGGCGCTTGCACCCCTGAAGCGATACACGAGTACTCTTCCCTTCACACTATAGCCACCCTTGTGCCCCTCACACTCGCCCACTATGATACAACACAGATTTCACAGATTTGCATCCCTCAAGACAAAATCTTCCCGACGCCTATGGAAACTTGCAGCGCGTTGCTCAAACAAAAAGATATAACACTTCTGACAGTTGTTAGTTCACGCTTTTCCTGTGCATACCTTTGCGTTATTGTCGATCGTTCTTATTTTTGCTTCAGTGGCGCGGTACAAGTATCGAGCTGCTTGTCGTTCTTCATGTGAAATTTTGATTTCTCGCGGTCGCATTCATTGTTTCATTATTCCGGCGAAAGAGTGACCGTACCCTCTTCTGTCGATGCCGCGGTGGGTTGTGCCCCATCCCTCCTTCCGAGAATCATCATCATCATCTAGCTCATGCTTTCTCGTGCGCTTGGCCACGGTGCGCGAGCAGCGTTGTAGCGCCCGATGGCTGAAAAGAAGGAGGACGGGCCCAAGGGCTTCGAGCTCTTCTATGTGGCGGCCGCCGCCGCCTGGCTCGGCTCGGTATCCATGGGCACCAATTTGGGGTACTCATCGCCAGCGATACCGAGCCTCCAAAGCAACTTCAGCGAAGGAGGCCTGGAAATCGACGAGAGTGAGGAGAGCTGGTTTGGTTCGCTGATGACGCTGGGCGCACTCACGGGAGGGCTGGCAGCCGGTTTTCTGGTGGACAGCTTGGGCCGTAAGCTATCGATTATCTTCTCCTCGATTGGCTTCATATCTGGCTGGGTACTCATTGCCACCGCGAGTACCGTGGTCGTGCTCTGTCTCGGCCGCGTCGTCACCGGCTTTTTCACGGGCATTATATCGCTTGCCGTCCCAGTGTACGTGTCCGAGATCAGCAGGCCCCAGGTGCGTGGCACGCTTGGTGCAGGCATCCAGTTGTCCGTCACAATCGGCATTCTCGGCGTGTTCTTCTTCGGCAAGTACCTCAGCTGGAGTTCTCTAGCCATACTCTGTCTCACTGTACCGGCTTCAATGGCCGTGCTCATGATTTTCATGGCTGAGTCGCCGCGCTGGCTATTGCAGAAAGGCAAGCGTGATCACGCGCTGAAAGCTCTTCAGTTTCTTTACGGTCCCCGCACCGACCACGAAGCAGTGCGCAAGGCCATCGAGATGAATCTTAAAATGAGCCCTTCCGAAAAATTTCACCTTAAAGAACTGCAGCAGCCGTTCATCTACAAGCCGATCCTCATCAGCCTTTTCCTCATGTTCGCGCAACAGCTGTCGGGAATCAACGCTGTCATGTTTTACGCTGTGTCCATCTTTCAGTCAGCAGGCACGACCATTCCGCCCGAAGACTGCATGGTGATCATCGGAGTAGTGCAGGTGATCGCCACGCTGGGTGCCACCATGGTGATGGATAAGGGCGGCCGGCGCGTGCTTCTCCTCACATCAGCTGCGCTGCTTGCGCTCAGCCTGGGCGTTCTGGGCGGTTACCATTACGTCAAGGCTACCAAGGGTGACGAAGCGGTTGAGTCGATCGGGTGGCTGCCTCTCGTCTGCCTCTCACTATTCATCATCGGTTTCTCCTGCGGCATGGGTCCCATTCCGTGGCTCATGATGGGCGAACTTCTACCACTGCGTGTACGCGGCTTCGCCACGGGTATGTGCACTGGTTTCAATTGGACTATGGCCTTTGTGGTGACCAAGACGTTCAACGACATGATCGACCTGCTTAAGCCGTACGGTACCTACTGGTTCTTCTGTATCGTCATGATCATATCCTTCTTCGTGGTCGTGCTCACGCTTCCGGAGACTAAAGGAAAAACGCTAGAGGAGATAGAGGCCGCCTTCCGTGGTGGATATGAACCGCTTAAGAAGCCGTCTGAGCCAATTGCTGCTGAAGTAACTCCTTTGGTCAAGATTCACCTGCCACCTACTGCCGTCCCACTACCAGGACCCGGTGGTGCCGCCACAGCCGCTGCAGCCGGCGCCGCCGCCGCTGCCGCCGCTGCTGCTGCCGCCGCCGCCGCCGCCGCCACCACCAACACCACCACCTCCACCGCAGCAACCCCCGCCACCATGGGTGCCACTTCCAACGCTGCTCCATCTCCTAGGAGGCCTTCGGGGCCGTCTACACATTCCAAGCTCACCTCTCCCGATAAGACCATGTCACCTCAACGCAAGGTCTTCCAAAGCACCGTTTCCGAGGCGCCACTCACGGAATCTGCGCCCAAAAGTCCTGCCAAGGAAGAAAAGACCAACAAGGACGGAGGTGCCCAAAGTCCTGCCAAGGAACAAAAGACCGACAAGGACGGAGGTGTAGGTGGAGGCGCAAACTAGCCTCGGCCCACTCTGACACAATAAAGCGCCCTCTTTGTGTCGGAGTTATGCTTGAGATGTCTCTGTGCTCTAAATGTTTGTGGTTGTTGCGCAAAGGTTAAGATGGCACACAACATTAACGCCCTGTGCGTACGATGTGCGTTTAGGTTATTCAGAGGTGGAGAGAAATGTAAACTTTATTTATAAGCTGGATTTACGTAATCGAGCTTGAATCTTCAGCTAATTTTCAGTATTTCTCTAGAAAACTATTTTTCGTATACAATGATTAGAGATGCTGAAAATTTTTGCATACCGAGTCACGAAACTGTGCGAGTTTGTTCAGCCTTACCTCCACAGACGTTGGTAGTCTTGAGCAGGTCGTTTATGAAGGTCTGCAGGAAGAGTTAAGGTATATACCTCTCAACACAGTGCAATAATTTCTTATGCCTTCCTCGTTGCTTTATGCTAGCACCTTTTTCCTGAGCAAGCTGCATTACTCTTGCTGTAATTGGCAGTGGTGTGAAGAAGTAAAGGAGGAGTATCGAGTTGGTCTGATTAAGGCCCCGAGTTCGAGTCATTGTCTAGGCTACCATATTTTTTCAGCCTTGGAGTGGTTCTGAAAATTGTGGTCATCCACACGTTGCTGACAGTCATGAAGTGGGGCTGCGCTCTTCCTGGTGAAGACGAAGAAGGCCCACTGGGTTTCAACGAGACCTACCTCACGATGCAGAATCGAAGATATGAGCACCCCCCCCCCCCACCTAGGGCTGTTGCTTTTTAAAATAGGTACTTTCCTGAAAGTAAGTGGTTTTCTCAAAGAGTCAATGCCTTCAGCCAGTGTCCCCCTGGAAAAAGTTCTTTGCTGTATTTCCGGGATATACTTATAAGTATGCAAAAAATACACAAAGAAGTTGGTCGATTGAACTAAGGATGTTTGATTCAAATTAATAAAAAAACTGCACGGCAGTCGCCACTACTGGCCTACAGCTTCGCAAGGCATCGACTTGCAGAATGACTCGGATTTGGCAAAATTTTCTCTGTCACTGATGTAAGCAACAAAAAAGTAATCCACTTCCTTACGCGCAATTGCCTGCGAGTGGATTGGAAGGCGGAACCCTTTGCCTTTTTTATACAGCGAAAGGTGTTATGGAGTCACACAGGTCTGAAGCCAGAGAGGAGTGTCCTATGGCTACGGACATTGCATGTGTAATCGGGAGCTGCACATCGACGGTAAAGGTCTTCGACATTAAAAGGGCCCTGCAAAACCTTTTGAGCATGGTCAAAAAACGCTGCTGATCGCTAGTAGAAGCTCCAGAGAACACGCGAGCCAAATATTATAGCGCAGCACAAGGCCCGGAATTCACAAGAAATTCTCAAGTCAGCTAAAAATTGCGTTCTCTCTTCTCGAAAAATGACGTGAGAAGCTCAAGTATCACTTGTCACAGCCGTTCCTTCAGCCATTGGCTGATTTGAACGTAGCGCGCTCTGTCGTTACAGGGGGGTGATTCCACGAGAGATCGACATGGGTCCAAAAGTTGATATTTTAGATTTCATTGTGTATTTAATATTTCGTGCACCTCTCACCAGGTAGCCCGAAAGTCAACTTCGTTTTATGATTCACCGCATGACTTACGAGAAAAAAATATCAAACTTCATCAACACGGAGGCACCAATTTCGTCACCTGTCATTTTCGAAAATTGCAGATGCTATAAAAAGACAAATATTTTTGTTTCAAGGAAGATATTTTTTACCGGAAATGTATGTCTAATGAAGAATGAATTCATAGAGTTTCAAGTTTGCAGACCTTAAGAAAATAGCTTTTAAAAATGTCTAATATTGCGGCAGTTTAATATAAGTTACGTATTCCCCCTTTTTTTTTTCTCCGAAAGTAATGCAAGCAGCGTTTTCAAACTTGACACGTTTTAAGGATATAGTGTGTTCATTAGGTACCTAAATTAAAGCTGCCGTAGGGCAAATGTAAATTTTTATATATTGCCTCAAAATTCTCATATTGGCGAAAGTGTACTCCAGAGAAATTTGAATAATAAGAAACCCCATCTTCAATTTCTTTTAAAATCTCGTAAATAGACAACCGAAGGCTATCATACAGTAATATAAAAAACATGTTGCATTATTTTGTTTTTAACGACAATATTCGTGGTACAAATCAGAGCTTTTCGAGAATGCGCTTATTAGTTGGGAAATCTAGAAATCGGAACGGAAAAGCGGCAATGAGCTTCAAACGCGAGTAAGCGTGACCGCATTTGGTGAAGAAAGGCTGTTTTAGCAGATAGGAGTAACTATTTTGAACACGATATTCTACAGTATCTGAATTCACTCTTATACGTACAGCACTGAGACTACTAATATGTGGTGCCTCTCCATTACTGACACACAGATGGAGCTGCAGTGACGGCCATGTGTTTGCAACACGTTGGGTAAGAGAATTGAATGTTGAATGAGTTCATAAACGATTCATAACAAATTTTTATCATTTGGGGCACGAAGACTGCTGCATTAGACTGAAGAACACGCTTTAGGGCAAGTTGTCATCCGTCGTCTGCTCTACAGATGAATTGCTGTGTGCCGCATCTCGGAGGCAATGCTTTAGATCATATGGTTCAAAGTAGGGACAAAAATTACACCTCCCGTAATTTTATCGACAAAAACATTGTGAACTTCATTTTAACGTACTATACTTCAGTTTTGCAATCGCACTGCGGATACTTGCGCACGCTGTTTTACGTCTGCTCTCATTAAAGGTGAGATACATAGAAACAGAGGACAGGTAGAACACTTTCGTGCTGCTGGTTTCACGCATAGTTGCATTGCCAATAATTTGAGCCTCAAGGAGCGTGGCGATGGCTGACCACTTCAGCCGGGATAAAGTTTTTTTGTTCAGATTACATCAAGTTGCATGAAAAGAAAATACCTTATCAAAAGAACTTCCGCAAGGTCGAAGACATCGGCCTGTTTGCCCTCCAGAAGCTTTTGCCGAAAGTTGCCCGCCATACACATAACAACAACCACGTCTGCCAGAACTGCTTCAGACGCCTCAGAGATATGCTGTCTTTGTCTAATGGCTTCTCAGCTGAAACAGCTGATGAGTTTTTGCCGGAAGAAGAAAGAGGCAGAAGTCAAGAGCGGTGCCTAAGAACGCCTGAAGCATTGTCCCATATGCGACTGGAGAAACTGCATGTGCAAAATAGCAAAGTTCATACAGGGCCAAGACAACTTAGCATCAATTCTACAGTAACCATGAAATGCCACCGTAACGGGTGTAACCACCACTTTAAACCATCAGATCTAAAACGCAGTGTGTGTGCCCAGTGGTTCAAGAACTTCAAGCAAGCCTATGAAGCATGTTCTTCGTATCAAGAGCGCATGCTTTTGTTGACACTGTTGCCGAGCGATATAAAGCGCCGAAAACTCCAAGCGCTTATACCAAACTTGAAAGCTTACATGATATACAGATCCCGACGCTGGCGCGCAAAACACGGGATATGGTTGGCACCAAATGCGGTAAAAAGGACACGGCTGAACCCAATGGACGTCCAGGCAGCTATGGCTTACTACTCCAAAGATTAGTATAGCTGCTCTCGGCAGAGTCTCAACAAGAAAGATGTAGTAATTGTTGTCATTGACGGAAAAAAGGAGCTTGTTTCGAAAAGGTTTATGACCCGTTCGGTGCGAGAGGCTTACCGTCTTTTTAGAGAAGCTAATCCAAAAACGTCTATTGGGCTCTCAAAGTTTTTTTCACTGAGGCCGAAGCGGGTTCTTCTTGCACCACACCAAGAAGTGTGCCTTTGTATATACTGTACTAATGCCACGGAGTGTGTTTCTGCTCTACAAGACGTCACCGATGGTGCCTACACGGCGGACTTCTTGAAAGAACTATGCCTTTGCAGCTCCCCTACAAGTGATTGTTTTTTAGGCCATTGTGACTATTGTGCTAAGGAGGACGCTCTGACAGCCACATGTTTAGGAATCCCTGAAGATATTGTGTGCAAATGCAGACGAGCTAGAAACATTCCGTCAGTTTAAGAAGAGCCAGTGGAAATATTTGCCACATGTTCCAGGCATACGTTCTTGGCATGTTTGGCTAAGCACATCTGAGGGCACTGATCGAGGTCATGTTTTGTTAGCGTCACGTACTGCTAAATGTGATCTGCAAAAGATGCAGCCATTTTGAGCGCATCTCTTGTTTCACGCAGTCACCACCAAAATACCAGGGAGGGTGCTTCAAGCACATATGCTTTTTCTAGCGAGAACCAACACTTGCGTTGGAACATTTTCATGTTTGAGTTTATCTGCAAATATAGACAGATGTTTTGCAACTGAGTTACAGTGTCGAAGATTTCCTCCTTTAGAGCTGTGTTATCAGGAGCATAACTGCGCCTTCATGGGTAAGTATTTGTCACAGTGCTAAAACAGCCTTTCTTCACCAAATGCGGTCAAGTTTGCTCGCGTTTGAAGCTTATTGCCGCTTTTCCGTTCTGATTTCTAGATTTCTCAACTTATCAGTGCATTCTCGAAAAGCTCTGATTTGTATCACAAATATTGTCGCAAAAAACAAAATTATGCAACATGTTTTTCTATATTACTGTATGATGGCCTTCGGTTGTCTATTTACGAGATTTTAAAAGAAAATGAAGATTGGTTTTCTTATTATTCAAATTTCACTGGAGTACACTTTTGCCTTTATGAGAATATTGAGGCAATATATAAAAATTTACATTTGCGCTACGGCAGCAATAGTTTACATACCTAATAAAAACACTATATCCTTAAAACGTGTCAAGTTTGAAATGCTCCTTGCATTATCTTCGGAGAAAAAAAATTGGGAATACATAACTTATTTTAAACTGCCGCAAAATTAGACATTTTTAATAGCTATTTTCTTAAGGTCTGCAAACTTGAAACCGTATGAATTCATTCTTCATTAGACACTCATTTCAAGTAAAAAACATCTTCTTTGAAACAAAAATATTTGTCTTTTTATAGCATCTGCAATTTTCGA